GCCTGGAACACTTCCAGGGATGGAGTAGCCACAGCTTCTCTGGGCAACCTGCACCAGTACCTCAGCACCCTCACAGGGAAGAATTTCTTCCCAGTATCCAATTGTAAATCTACCCTCTTTAAGTGGGAAGCCATTCCTCCTTGTCCTGGCACTCCAGGCCCTTGTCCAAAGTCCCTCTCCAGCTTTCTTGGAGCCCCTCTAGGCACTGGAAGGTGCTATAAGATCTCCATGGAGCCTTCTCTTCTCCAGGCTGAACAGCCCCAACTCTCTCAGCTTGTTTCCAGTCCTGGACTGATGCAATGCAACACCAGCTCTGAGAACCGTAGCCTCTGAGTTGCAAGTTATTTTAGAGTAACAGCACACAAAAATCTTATACTCCTGTGTTTCCGAGACCTTAGCCATGTAACTAACATCTAATGCCCTGCAATGAGCAGACACCTTCAACTGGATCAGGTTGCTCAGAGCCTCATCCAACTTGACCCTGAATATTTCTAGGGAAAGGGCATCTACTATCTCTCTGGGCAACCTGTTCCAGTGTTTCACCACCCTCCTCATAAAATATTTTTCTTAACTCTGGTCCAAATCAACCTTCTTTTAGTTTAAAACCATTACCCCCTTGTCCTACTGCAGTAGGCCCTGCAAAAACATTTGTACCCATCTTTCTTATAAGCCTTCTTTAAGAACAGAAAAGCTGCAATAAGGTCCCCTGAGCCTCCTCTCTTCTCCAGGCTGAACAACCCCAGCTCCCTCAGCCTCTCCTCATGGCACTTGTGCTTGAGTCCCTTCACCAGCCTCATTGCTCTTCTCTGGACCTGCTCCAGCACCTCAATGTCCCTCCTTAACTGAGGGGCCTAGAACTGAACACAATGTAACCATATTTCTCTTAAACCATATTTCTCTTAAAATGAGAATGAGAACTTCCAGCTGTATACAAACCCCAGGGCTGTACATCTCTAAGTAAGTAGAATGACCGTCCCCCCATCACCAGCTTTGTGAGGCCGAGAGCCACATGGACATCAACACTGTTGGGGGAGAACTGCTGCTAACAAGCTCCTACATGAAATACTCACACACAAACAGTAAGAAATAATCTACAGTTATGACCAGGCCCTGAGTACAGCCATAACCAGTATTTCAAGTGTTAACCTTTAGGCCCAAAAATCCTGCAGAACATATACATATATTTCAAACATCTATATTTAAAATGATCTCTTTTCCTAACCTACAAACTTTACTAAAGCCAGACTTCCATCTGGAGAAAAAACATCTTAAATTATATTTCAAGTATTCATCAACATTAAAGTTGTTCCTCTTTTCAAGATCCTGAGACAAACACTCATATTCAATCTAAAACAAGGAACAAAACAGAAGTAAAGGAATGGAAGCAGCTCCCGCAGCAGCAGAAGTCCCTGTGCAGACCAACTTCCACCCACCCATCCCAGACTTTCCAGGCCCACTCAGCTGCCAGAGGCTGAGTTGTCTTACTTCCTGCAGTCACTTGATACATCACTATCCCTTCTTGCTCAGTGATGGTGATTTGCAGGGAACACTCCCAACTTCCTTCCACGTGTTAACTGTACAAAAAGGAACAAGGGTTTGAAGGAAGCCAAGTAGTATTTTATTGACTCCCAGAAGACAGATATGGGTTGCATACAACCCTGGAAAACTGCTTTGTAAAATCCCAGAATTGTAAACAACAGAACTCATTCTTCATAAATAATCTGACACCATTCCTCTGTCAAAAGGTTTTGGCATGGAACATACTTCCTTTGCGGTTAAATTTCAATCGTTCATTCGAACAGTTTAAAAAACTATGTCTATAATAATACTTAAATATTTTGCTCGTATTTTTGACTTCATAAAAAAAATAGTTTGAGCTACTACTTTCCTAATCTCAAAAAAAAATAATTCAGAGAGACACCAACTTCTGAACGAGTCCCTTAAAAATGTGCATTTCACCTCAGAGCAGTAACTACCTCAGGAAAATGCACACAGTAGGACTAGCTTTCCCTTAACCCTGCAGAAGCATTCACATAACCAACTACAGACCCAAAAAGAATTTCTGCAACAGGAACAAGACAAAGTTGATCCCAAAGGCCAATGCTCCAGTGCTTGCAAAATCTGACCACGTCCAATTAAATTCCTTTTAGTTTTGGAACAGGTCAGTCCACACTTCAGTTGGATGATGACGACTGCAATAGTCTTGTTGGGCTTGCAGAGGCCATGGGAGTGCTTTTGGTTTTAATGACAAGCAGACACAGTGACTGAAGCCACCCACAAAGGTGAATGAACACAGCTCATCTATTGCAGCCCGTTCCCCCGGCACTTGGGAAAGGCAGTAATGCCTGGAAGCACTAGGTTTTTCTGAGGGATCCCTAGGTCACAGACTCCCTTGCCTTCCCAGAGCACTGCTTGCTCTTATCTGCAGTACCACTCAAATGCATTGTTTGCATCTCAGTATCTTAATTCCAAGACATTTACCCAGAGGATTCACCTAATGCACAAATGATTTTCAGGTTTGATCGTGTTTTTGACGTTGAAAACAGGTTCTCACTCGAGCAGTAATGTCTTGGCATTCATGACTGGTCAGAACTGGTTTTATACCAAAGTCTTCAACACCTCAAGTACTTGCTAACGCCAGAGGTGCTGGGGCTGAGCTACCCTAACTCCAATTACAGCTCCATGACATGCAGGCTTTGGCCATGCAGCTGGCTGAAGTGACTCCTGCTTCGTCCCACTGCTCCACAGACGTGCTGACACAGCTCTAAACTAGATCTTCGACCCAATGTGGGTCTATAAGTAAGCCTTTACTTCATAGCATGGACCAGCCTGCTGATCTGACACCCTGTGCGGCACAAGTAAGGGACAGTGGAGCGAAGGAACAGGAGCCAGCAGCTGGAGTGGTGATGCACTGATTTGGTCGGGTCAGGAGAAGTCCTTCATCTTCCATCACCTTCACCGTTTGCACAGGGAACACTGAGGGTCTGCAAGATGCTCTTCAGAAAGCACAGGTGACATCTGTGTGGGCATGAGCCAAAGGATGTGTTTGGACACATATTGTACCAGACATTGTCTCATCTGCTATTAATGTCACGGATTAAAAAGTGGTTTTAAAAACTCCTTCTGTACAGCAGTTCATCAAACTGACCTTATAATATTTCCCTTCTATCTTACATTTTTACATAAAGCAGAAGTGCCTACACCTTCAGGAAAAAGACCTTTTTAAGTAACAGTCAACATAAATGGACGCACTTTTTGAGAGCAACTTACCTAATTAGCTTCATGAAGCTCATGACACATGTAAAGCCAAAAGGCAATGACATCTCAGAAACATGACAGCTTGGGTGAAAGCAGATAGAACTCACAGGTATTTTGTCCATTACAAGAGCTTCTCATTTCAAGAGGAGAGCAATTAATTCCAAACAAGTGACTGGTTTTGGCAATTCAGACTTAGTGCCCTTCAAATGAGCAGATTTTTTTTTAAGCTGTCACATTAGTGTTACAGTTAGGATTGTATTCTGATGAGTTCCTGGGATATACAAATTACCTACTTCTAAACAGGCTTCTGCATGTTACAGACTAAACTTCTTAACTTACAAAGAGTTAGTTTGCTGTTTCCAGTTTACAATGGTAAGAAAAATGAAGACTTCACAATGGGTATAAATGGGAGGTAAATGTATTTTTAAAAACAGAATAAAAAGCTGCATGTTAAAAACTGGGTCACAGACTAATAAATACATACATCAAAGACATGAAATTTTCAGTAGCTGGTTTTAAAGAGCAAGGAATTGGGGGAAAAAAACTAGCTGTCCAGACTCCATTCTGGCTCTGTGGTCTATGTGCTAAAAATATCTGCATTTCAAAAACAAGTTAACAGAGGAGTAGAATCAGCTTTGTCACCTATTTTCTTTTTAAAAAATTCAGCTACTTCCTAAAGGTGTGGTGTAAAACCTAGAGAAACTTCTGATTTCTTCATGCACTTGATGACACTGAATTAAAAAAACTGAAATTATTTTAACCCAGAAAAAATGAGTCATTGTATACAGTAAGGACAGCCTTACTGCAGGTTTTCTACAATAAAAGTATTTCTAGAAATACACCAGAAATTACTTTCCTATAACAAAATATACATTTATGTGTCAGATCATCGTTGAGTTTCAACACTTAGACAAAACAGAAAGTTACTGTGAAGTTTAAAAGAAAAAAAACCAACCCAAAGGACAAAACCCAATTCCAAACAGCAAAAAGATGTTTTGACAGCTGTGGAGATGCCAGAAAGCAATGCTGGACACCAGGAATTTCCAGAACAACCCCCTTTCCAAAGTGATGTGCAGTTTGGGAATTAGACCGTGAGAGAAAACTGATCCTGTTCTATGGGCTTCTCCACCCAGGCTCCAAGTCCTGCCTTCAGGAATGCTTTAAACAGACACTCTTTGGCAGTTTGATACTCTCTGGCTCCTTGCTTGGTATCGTGGTACAGGTTGGGCTTGAGGATCTTTGAACGCAAGCTGGAGGAAAGCTGCGGGGATGAAAGACAAGAAAAGAAGACAAGACCCTGTTAAGACAAACAGCTTGAGAGTGGCTGAGTTATTGAAACAACCAATATTACAATGATGCAATGATCTACCAACAAAATATTGAGGCCAAAAAGCCACAGACATTCTTTCTGGTAGCTGTTCTTTCTGAGAAGAAAAAGTGAAACCTCACTAGGTTCAACTGCAGTGAGAATGGGATTATCCTTCCAAATAAAGCTCAAAGGAGACAGCATCCTTTGTTTACTCAGCTATAAACCAAGGAGGATGCATTTTGGAACAGACATTATCAAATTACAGGTTAGCAAACACATTGTTCTACTCCATTACTGCATGGACCAGTAGCTAATGGGCCTCAAGGTGCACCAGGGGAGGTTTAGATTAGGTATTAGGAGAGCAATTTTCACAGGAAGGATTGTAAAGCATTGGCACAGGCTGCCCAGGGAAGTGGTGGAGTCACTGTCCCTAGAAATGTTCAAGCAATGTGTGGATGTGGTACTAGAGGACATGGTTTAATGGTGAACATGGTGGTGGTGCTGCGCTGGACTTGATGATCTTAAAGGTCTTTTCCAGCCTTAATGATTCTGTGATTCTAATGTATGGCTCAGCTTAAACCAGGCTGAGAAAGTAGCTTCTGAGACCAGAAACCACGTAGAGATACTACACTAGGAATGAAGAAGTGGAAAATTTGGCACCTGGAAGCTGTACCTTGGCATGAATACGCATCCAGCGGCTGTAGAACGCGTGCTTACACAGGCGAGATGCTCGACCCATCTCATCTTTGCCAGTTGTAGCATTAATAACTTCCAGACTAGTGTCTCCTACTGTCCAGTTCACACTGAAGTTTGGGGCTTTCCCTGGCTGACGAGCTTCTGCGTTGCTAATACCTGAAAGAAAAGTGAAGATTAATGACAGTAATAAATACAAACTCTTGACATTTGTCTTTTGTTGGGCAGTAAGCAGCCTTACAAGAAGAAGTTTTACTTTCATAGAATCATAGAATTTAGAGGTTGGAATGGACCTTACAGATCATCTAGTCCCAATCCCCTGTCCTGGGCAGGGACACCTCCTCACTAGATCAGGTTGCTCAAGGCCTCATCCAGCCTGGCCTTGAACACCACCAGGGTCAGGGCAGCCACCACATCCCTGGGCAACCCATGCCAGTGTCTCACCACCCTCACAGGAAAAAAGCATTTTCCTAATATCTAGCCTAAACTTCCCCTCCTACAGTTTGAACCCATCAACCCCTGTCCTGTCACTGCAGTTCCTAACAAAGAGTCTTTGGACTCTTGCTTGTTGGAGCAAAAGATTTGCTCCAACAGTTCCATGTCCTTCTTATGTTGAGGACACCAGAACTGTGTGTAGTATTCCAGGTCAGGTCTCACATGAGCAGAGTAGAGGGAAAGAATCACCACCTTTGACCTGCTGCCCACACTCCTTTGGATGCAGCCCAGGATTGGATTGGCTTTCTGGGCTGAGCTCACACTGCAGCTCATGGGGAGCTTCTCATTCACTGTCACTCCCAAGTCTTTCTCCTCACTGCTGGTTTCAATTCCTTCCCCACCCAACCTGTAGCTGTGCCTGGGATTGCCATGGCCCAGACGTAGGACCTTACACTTCATTTTGTTGAACTCCATGAGGTTTGCATTGTTCCGCATTTCAAGACTGTCAAGGTCCCTCTGGATGCTCCATACCTTCCCTCCAGCTGTGACTGCCCCACACAGCTTGGTGTGGTCAGCGAAGTTGCTGAGGGTGCACAGTCAATCCACTGTCCATGTCACCGACAAAGATGTTGAACAATGCCAGCCTCAGCACTGACCCCTGAGGGACACCACTGACCCCTGAGGGACAGCACTCCTCACTGGCCTTGGCTTTGACACTAAGCTGCTGACCACAACTCTCTGCGTGCGACCATCCAGCCAGCTCTTTACCCACCGAGCGCTCCACCCATCAAAACCATGTCTCTCCAATTTAGAGACAAGGATGCCGTGTCGGACAGTGTCAAACACTTCGCATACTCCAGGTAGATAGTATCAGTTGCTCTGCCCCTATCCACAAGTTCAGTGGCCCCATCATAGAAGGTCACCAGATTCATCAGGCAGGACATTCTCCTGCAGACTTCTCACCTGCTTGTGGAGATAATACCATGGACATCTCATTGTCACCCTGGCTAAAGTGCTCTCTACTTCTGTCCTTCCCAGCAGGGCAAGTGCGCATCGCTGGAGCAACCAGCCTACATGGCCAAGGGGATCACAGGGAAGTCTGTGGCAAGGGTTCATGGGGACAGTAACAGGAGTGCCTTGCCACATCGTCCTCACGAGGATCTGGTCTTGCAAACCAACAAACTCATTATTAACCAGCAAATAATTATGAAACAGAACAAAAGTTGCTCTGCTTCTCTTCAAGAAACTGCTGCTCTCAGAGCCTACTCAGTGGCTGAGTGTAGCAAAGAGCCAACATCACAAGATTTTGGCTGTAACTCTCCAATCATCTCCCTTTCGCTCTGATGTTGCAAGAATTCAGGTGCATGTTGCTTATCTCACTTCAAAATGGGTGTGAAACCATGAACGCTGGAAATGGTACAAGGCCAGGTTGGACAGGGCTTTGAGCAACCTGGTTTAGTGGAAGGTGTCCCTGCCCAGAGCAAGGGGTTGGGAACAGATGAGCCTTAAGGCCCCTTCCAACATTCACCATTCTGTGATTCTATGAAAGTGAGGCCCATCCTCAGCACTGCCCACAGAAAGCCAGAAATGGCAGACACTGGAGTCTTCCAGCACAAACCCTCTGTGTTTCAGCTGCCCCCCTGCTTTACATGCCTGTTGCTGACCACTGTGCCCAGAGATGGGGGAGCACAGGACTCAAAAGAAAACTTGGATCATTTTGCTCACATGTTAAACTGTGTGACACCTCCCAAATACGGTTTCATCTCTACAGATGGAGAAGCAATCCCCCAGCAATCCAACTCAAATGCAAGCCAAATCCACGTTGCCTAGCCAGGGCAGGATTTATTCCTCTGTGGCACCCCAATGCTGTGAAGATGGACAGTACATAATGACTGCAGTACACTGTGTGAAGGTCACAACAGCTGCTGCAATCCATGTGCAACTCCTCACATATTACAGGGGTGGCAAAACCCTGCATTTAAGATGTCTCAGTCACCTCAGCAGAACAAAACACCAAGGCAATTTGTTCTTTCTAGTAACTAAAAATCTCATTATTACCTTATGCAGCTCTCACTGAGAACCTGTATCAAATCTACCCCAAGGTTATGCTAGGCCCTACACTTACTAAAACCTAGAGAATTTGTGTAACTTGAACACAAGCCATACAGGAGGATGCATTTCTGGTTGATACTTGAAACACAACTTAATAAACAAGGTTAAGCCAACCTCAGGCATATGAGAGCAGGACTGGCTCACCTGGCTCAGCCTCACGGTACATCTGGGCCCAGTGCTGAGAGTGCGCAAGACCTATCAGGTCTGAATAACATAGGAAAATGCAGTTTGCTTCCTATCATTAATTTCTCATTTATTAAACAAACACTTTTAAGTATCAACCACTGAAGCTGTTGTATTTTTGTGCTTGTTTTATGTCACCGTTGCCACTATGATAACCAGTAATTAGTGAATACAAAACAAACTAAACATTCCCCCCTTAAAATATAAGCTGAAAAACTTAAGCTTTGGAGCAAAAGTTGGTTTTACCAAAACTACTGAGGCATGAGGGCTACAAAATTGCTGCCACATGACCATTTTTTGCCATATTTGCCCTATGATATCTATACTATTACCTTTGCTTTTGCTTCATACCCTATATAGGGCATGTAGTACTCTAAAACACTTGTGACATGACAAGCAACAAGTAGGAGTATCAGATAAAGGGTACCAAGTACTCTAAAACACTTGTGACATCACAAGCAGCTGCACATTCAAATCCAATAAACATCCAGTATGTAATTATACATTTCCATTCCAATTATACAATTCCACTCCTTAGGTCATTTTGATGAATTAATTAAATTTTTTAAAGAAAAAAACAACCCAGATTCATAATTTCAAATAGATTTAAGTAACAACAACCCGTTCAACTGCTTAATTGTATGCAGTAACCCTGGAGAGATGGCAAAGGAGTCCCTGATGGTGGATCACAGGGAGCACAGACAAAGAAAATAAAGGTCATCTCAAAAGCAAAGTATCTGATAAAACTTTAGGTGATCATATCTTCCCCCTCAAAATCTAGACATGAAGATAGCACAATAAGCTGAAACTGGAAATGGGAGAGAAAGCTAGGACAGAAAGTCAAATATTTCATTCTCCTATAATGGGATATAATAAGCAAAGGTCACAGCTCTTTGTGCCAGTGCTTATATAAATAATAAAGCTTGACAGTTCTTTGAGGACAGAGCTAAAAAAACCTTCATTAAAACAGAGATAGAGAGCTGAAAAATACCAGTGTGAATGAGAGGATAAAGTACCAAGGGAACGGGCAAAAAAAGTCACCAAAGGCTGATGAAGGATTTATTTTTGTCTATCTTATAAAAGAGAATTCATGGACACCTGGATGAAGATGGTTGTCTTGCGAAGAGCCAACACAGCTGGAGAGCTTCCAGCTCTGTGCAGACCTGGACAGTGTGTGGGGCAGGAAAGCTGAGGTGGTGGTGAACGGTGCTGCATCCAATTGGCAGCCAGTCACTAGTGGTGTTCCCCAGAGGTCAGTGCTGGGCCCAGTGCTCTTGAATATCTTTGCTGATGACTTGGATGAGGGGATTGATTACAACGGGATGAGGTCTAACAAGTCCAAGTGCTGG